ATTGCAAGCTCTAGCAAATTGCAAAAGGAGGAGGGAAAGCAGGGAAGGGTGTGGGGGTCCAGAGAAGGTGGGAGAAGCAATTTTTTTTGTTTCATAAACGCTTTTTTCATTCATCCATTGTTTGCTTTTTTCAGATTTTTTATTTAAATTAGAAACAAGAAATTACCTGACAATCCCAGTTCCCTTCTCCCTCCCATCCTCTCCTACCACTCACCTAACTAAAACCCTACCTATCATATATCCTTTCTTCTATTCTTCCCCTGACTCAACCTTTCTGCTCCCTCATGACCTCTGCATCCTTCCTCTTCTTCCCTTCTTATTCTCGTAGCTCCCTCCCCCTCTTCCTGTGCTCTCAATTTGCTCAGGGGATCTTGACCCCTTCCCCTGGGAGAAACAGTTTTATGATGCCTGTGGACAAGCTTTGACACTAATGGTCCTCATTGCCTTGTCTTTGATTGCTCATGTCCATCCTCACCACCATAGTGGAGTGGCTAGCTACCAGACATGACATTTTCCTAAAACATGAGTAAATGCAATTACATGTGAAATATTCTGAAAACGTGCTGCTCTTCCATGTTGTTAGCAATACTTGCCCCTATTGATGTGAATTTAAGAACGTGCATTTCAACACCAGGACCCTTGTGTGTCCCCTACTGTGTTGAATACTTGAGGCTAATGTGGTGCTCCATTCACTGCAATCTACAGTCTTCCTATATTGATTTTATTATCAGTGGTAGTAATCACCAACATCATTACCAGCCAATTACACAAATACATCTCAGCTATGTAACCAACATTATCTTCTACTATCTGTCATTTTGTAATGAAGCTGATCATCCCCTTGGCCAATTAAGGGTAGCTACATATTTTGATGTAGTAGACTTAAATGCAAGTATATTGAATTATGTAGTAGGTAATTACTTACATATGTTGGTAGTAAGGCAGAATGAGGGTAATTTGAGTATAATCTGTTTCGTATTCTCTTTGGAACTGCATTAGAGAAGGTTAACTGCCTTAAAAAATAGATCTAGGCATGTTTGTGGATTGAATAAAATGGTAGTTATTTTCTACTGGCATAATAGGTCTGGAATAGGCTAGTGGATTTGCCATGCAATTCTCCACAGTTCCAGGTGGATTATTTGATATATATAAAATCACATTAACTCTGGCAGTAACTCAACATTCATATTCTATTATTAGATCTTTCTCACATGGCTATGCCTAACCATCAGGGATGAGGTTTGTGTTCTGTCTAAGGAAGAAACAGAAAGCCTGGGCTTTGCTGCATGGTAGCAATTTCTTCCATAAAACCTCAAAACAGACCTTGCTCTATTTCTGTATGTACCGATTACTTTCTTTGCCTTATCATGTATCATGTGGGACTTTTACCAGCCTAGCCTCACTTTTCCTCTTCTGTTGCAGAATGTTAGATGTCTTTAAATAGCTAGATATGAGGCTTACCCCTTAGACTTGCATATGCTAGCAGTTGAAGAACGAAATATGTGAACTTTCTTTGTAAACTTTTTAAGTTTACAAACTTATAATTGTTTAAGCAGTTTAAATTGTCAATACCTTCATTAGAATTAAAGTAACAGTGCCAAAAAATGCTGTTTCTTAGTTTAACTTTGTTATAGACCGAAAAGTTTTTAGAGAGTATTATTAGTACAATCAAATATAAGCCTTCTGTCCCTTGCATGTCTAGTTCTATAATGTCATTTGTCATCATTTTTATAGGAATTCCAATGCTCATAAGACCTGCCAGGTCTGTGACATCTCCAGCTTCAGGTAGTTGGCTCAGTTTCACAGTACCAGTCATGAGTTTCCTCCTCCTGGTATGTCAATCCAATTAGACAACCATTGGTTACTACCCAAGCGAAAAGTACCTATATTGCACCATTGTGGATTTTTTTTTCCAGCTCAGTCATTAGTGTGGTTCACAGAATTTTTAGCTGGGTAGAACTACTGACTACCCCTCTCCATTGGAAACTCTTATGTATAGCCCGTTTTAATACTGTGAGAGCCAGTCCTTGGTCAGTTCCAGATTGAATACTTCATGTCTTGTGCCAGAAATTGTATGTTGCCTTCACCAAAGGTTCTTACCTCCAAGTTAAGGAAACCAGGGCAATGGCAACATCCTACAGAGTCTGGGGAGACCCCTGTAGTACTCTAGCCAACAGCAAGAGTGGAAATTCCCCTTGAAATGATATTTAGTGTAAATCACATAATGCTATTAAAATGATATCCTCCTTTAACTGCAACAGAGGCATGAAAGCAAAATTTAACTGTTATTGAAAGAGAATTCAAGTTAAATGGTAAAGTTGCTTATTTACACCATTCTAGCTAATTTGGAGTTGCTTATACAAGGAAATACAAAATGTGAACAGTGTCATTTAAGTCTAAACCATCATTTCTGATAGAAAAAAAGTAAGAAATTGGGGTTAGTTACATTTGCTATGATTGATCCTGTATCATAGCTAGATCAAAATCCTTAGACTGACACATAGTGTTTTATTTCCTTTTGAGAAAAGTTGAAGTGCAACATTCAGGACTGGTTTTTATTGCCATTAGTATAAACACAGCAGCCAGACAATACTCACCTATAGTCTAATTTTGGTATGTCACACTAAGTATTAAATATTATGAAAAATGTATAAATAAAAATAACAAACTTGAGCCGGGTAGTGGTGGCACATGCCTTTAGTCCCAGCACTCAGGAAGCAGAGGCAAGCAGATCTCTGTGAGTTTGAGACCAGCCTGGTCTACAAGAGCTAGTTCCAGGACAGTCTTCAAAGCAACCGAGAAATCCTGTCTTGAAAATACACACAAAAAAATTGTTTCCATTCTGACCACCTTCTATTGTGCAAAATAAAAATAGTTTTCACAAAAGTACCAAAAAAAAAAAAAAACCCAAGCAAATACTAAAAACAAAACAAAACAGTGAGGGGCTACAAAGCTGGTTCAATGGTTAATAGCACTGGCTGTTCTTCCATAGGATCTATGTTTAATTCCCAGCATTCAAATGGCAACTAACAGTCATCTGTATGCAATTCCAGTTCTAGGGCATCCCATGTCCTGTTCTGGGCTCTGTTGACACAAAGCACATATGTGGTGCAGACACATGTGGAGGCAAAAAAAACACACACGAACACACACACACACACACACACACACACACACACACACACACACAAATAACAAAAATAGCAATAATAAAAAATTTAAAGAATATTGTGGAGTTTAAATAAGAGGCTGAATAGGATTTGGTTGCTCTTGGATTCATTTTATTTTATTTTTGTACTAAATGTCTGTATGTATGCAATTGTTGTCTTAGTGGCCAACAATGTTAGAAGCAAGCAAGCTTAACTGAGCTTCTTCTATAGTTCATTCAAGTCATCCATGACAGTTACACTCTCATAATTTACCTAAATATCCCCCATCTCTGAGACCATCACACTAAATATTAGTTCCTAACATAAGAACTTAAGAAGACGTCAGTATTGAGACCACAGCAATAATTAAGGTAAAAGAAAAAGAGTCTAGTAAAATGATGCTGTTAGTACAGTTGAGACATCAAGGCCAAGGTCATCTTCATACTATTAGGCACAGAACTTCAGTTTCACATTTGCATCCACAGGGGATTCAAGATATACATGTCCTCCTGCTTCCCCTTTTCCATAGAACCCCCTTAAATTATAGAGGAAAGGTATTCAGACACCTTCTTAAAGCGTCATTTCACTATGTACTAAATAATTTTGTATTCGGATTGGCTCAATGGCTCAATGGGTAAAGTTTGCAATGTAAGTTTGCAGATCTGAGTTCAGTAGTCCCTGCATCCCCCTTTTCATCCAAAAAGCTTGATGCTGCATCACATGTCTATTATCACAAAGTATACATCTGTGAGGAAAGGAGACCAAGGCAGGCTTGCTGCAAACTCATGAGCCAAATGGCATGGCATTGGCAGAAGTGAACAAGAGAGCCCTGGTTTCAAGCAAGATAGAAGATGAAGGACTGAAGGCCAAAGATGTCCCCTGACCTCCACATGTACACAGTGGCACACACACATCTACAATAACATACCACACTCCAATATGTACAAACACACTGTACTGGCTGCTTTTGTGTGTCAACTAGACACAAGCTAGAGACATCAGAGGAAGGAATCTCAGCTGAAGAAATGCCTCCATGAGATCCAAGGCATTTTCTCAATTAGTGACTAATGGGTGAGGGCGCAGTCCATGTTGGGTGGTGTTATTCCCTGGGTCGTTGGTACTGTGTTCTATAATAAGTGGTCTGAGCAAACCATGGAAAGCAAGCCAGTAAGCACATCCTTCCATGGCCTCTGCATCAGCTCCTGCCTCCAGGATCCTGCCCTGTTTGAATTCCTGTCCTGACTTCCTTGCGTGATGAACAGCAATGCTGAAGTGTAATCCAAATAATTCTTTCCTCCTCACTTGGCATTTTCGTCATGGTGTTTCATTGCAGCAATAGAAACCCTAACTAAGACATACATATACACAACATATACAATTAAAAATGTTTATATTGTTATATGGCATGCACATTTAAACAATAAATTGGTACTTTAATTTAGCTATCCTTTATATAGCAATGTGAGCCAAAAGTCATTACATAGAACTACAAAAAACCACAAGATAGTGTTCAATTACTTTCAATTACCTGTTATCCCTGGAGTTTCTGTCAAAGGAATACCTATTGGCTCACTTCAAATTCCGTGGTTCTCTCTTTTACAATAACACATTCCATATTCTTTCAAAATCCTAACTCTCTGCCTCTGTATGCATTAAGTGACTCTGGCATCTTAACAAGCACTGTTTTTTTAAAAGTGAGTAATTTTATTTTCGTATCACTGGGTGTCCATTCTTCAGACTGTGATGAGTCTTGCCTTCTGTCTTTTATTTGCATGAGTAAAATCTTCATTTTTGTATCATTGTGGCTCTTTACTGCATCTAATTAACATTAACTTCCTTTTGACTGTGCAGGGCAGGCTTTTTGCCTCAGAATATTCCCCTGGAGATTATCAGATACCTGTCTGAGGAGAAGGATTTTCTTCCTTGGCATGCTGCCAGCCGAGCTCTTTATCCTCTGGATAAGTTACTGGACCGTATGGAGAACTACAATGTCTTCAATGTAAAAATATATATAATTTCTTCTTTCTAATTTTTAGAAGATAAACTGTTTTCTCATTGTGCACTCTGTACAACTGAGTCTGAATTATTTCATTTCCTCCTGCTAGTGTAGGCTGTTATTTTTGCCCTGATTTTCTATTCAATACTTATGGCAGTTATTTGAAAAAAGGGAATTAAACACAAGCTACCTTTTATTCTGGCCTAAAAGTGTCAATTAAGCTTAAGTGCTTGAGAATTTATGGAAGAACGTACCTGGCAAATCCATAAGTTCAAACTTAGTTCCTGAGAGTTAAAGGTCTCTGTGTTCACAAAGGACTTAACCTGAGTAGTGGGATCCCAGAAAACTTAACAGAATATAGACAGTTTCAGGAAAGATTCTTAGTCATTATTTTTATCCAAAAGGGCATGGTGAATCCAATGCACCTCCTTAATTAACAAGGATAAGATCAACATTGAGGCCAAAGCCCATTCATAATTGGGTCCAAGGGGACACAGGGCAGCAAACAACAGATAATCCAGGCAGACAAAGAGGCATGACACACATTCCAAAATGGTACCTGACCAGATTTTTTTAAGCTCAAATCCCAGGAAAACAAAAATTGTACTACCAACAACACCTAATCGGATTCAATGATCATTTTGAATAATATCAGGATTAAGTAGGGCTAATGAACTTTTGATTCCTCGATTTCTTATCGTGGTTACTTTAGTGCACTATACAGTTTTCTTTAGCTATTTCAAGAATCTGTACTGTGTTTTATGAAACTATTCTATGCCTTATAACACAGTGACTCTGCAAATTAACATACATAATCCAAATTAATCAAGGATAGGTTGTCAGTGATTTGATACATTATTAGAGCCATCTAGGTTGTCTGATGTTCATCAGAGTTACCTCCTTTATCATACCCCAAGGCTTCATGAAAGTGACTGTCAATTTACTTTTTAAAATGAGAATAATCATGGCTTGCCTGTTCATTGTTGTTAGTTTTGCATAAGCCCTTAGCAACAGACAAGCAAAGAAATGTGTCATTTGAGTTAGGGAATAATGTTTGTCTGCTAGAGAAAGTCTTATATTTCCCTTTCTCCCTGACAAAGAGATGCTGAACTATGAAACTCCTAAAAAGGCAAAATACATTCTTGTGTATGTTTATACTTTTGAATAGTATATCATGTTAGATTCCTCCTACAGTAAAAGTTAAGCCATTTTTGCTGTAATTTTAGTACTTTCATTCCTTAGACAAAAATCTAAGATTACACTGAAGTGTGGGAGAGCATTTCTTACAGTGGCATTGATTTTAAATGCATTGTTAGTTGAATAGATTTTTGAATTTGTGATACTATATCACAGTATGTAAGTGTTATGTACATCTTCTCTTCCACAATACTAGCCTGTTGGCTGGGCCACTATAATAATTTTTCATTGAATATCCTCCATTGATGCAAAATGCACAAATATTAGATATTTCAGTTACAGAACATGGCTCAGAGGCTGAAACTGCTTGCTGCTCTTGCATAGGACCCCAGTTCAATTATCAGCACCTAGGTAGCTCACAATCAACGATAACTCCATCTACAACAGATCAGTTGCCCTTTTCTGGCCCCTACAGGTGCCTGTACACCTGTAGCATACACACACACACACACACACACACACACACACACACACACACACACACACACACGTCTATACATTAAATAAAAGTAAAATCTTAAAAAGTACATTGGATGCTGATTTTCTTAACATGTAGCTGCATATGGTTACACATGTGTATGCATGAATCTCAGCCAGAATAGTCCCCATTTCCTTTACTTCATTAAAATTTGTCATGTAAAATATTTAGCACTGCAAGTTATTTGTTTAGAAGAAAAGAATATTGTTTTCTATGTCTTAAATAGTAAGTTGAATAAAGGTATAGGAGAACATTCCTATGATTTACCCACATTTCATTTTTAAATAATCAAATTTGGAAGGAATAAACTAATATTATCTTGTTTTCTCTCACTCTCCATGTAGGAATACATTTTAAAACAAGTTGCAACAACGTATATCAAGCTTGGATGGCCAAAAAATAACTTCAATGGATCTCTGGTTCAAGCATCCTACCAACACGAGTACTATTTTATTTTATTGTTCTCCTCTTTCCCCAGAGCTGTACAAAAACACACTTCTAGTAGCACTCTGCCTTTAGCAGCATGAGACTGCCTTTCTCTCATTCTGCATTTTGCATTTCACTTTCCTGGGAGGACTACAGCTGGGCAACAAAGTTGTTGCTGCCTGATCTTGAGAACAAAGCAGTCCATGACTGTGTTTTAATTCAAGATCTGACTGTGTTGTGATGTTGGGATCAGAACCTGTGACCTTGACTAGAGGTTCATCTCCAGTGACTTAGTGTGCATAACTCCCATTCATCCTGGTTCATTTTATTTTCTCGGCAATATAGGATTTCTGTATCTAAACCTATATCTGCATTTTTTTTACTTATCTACCATATTATTTACTTTTCCCAGTGCTATAAGAAAATACTTGATAAAGAAAACAACGTTTATTTCATACAACACATTTTGATTGTGTTTTCTCCTCTCCAATACCTCCCTGACACTCTCCACTTGCTTACCTACCCAATTTCAAGTTGTTTCTCATGTGTCTCTTAAAAATCCAAAACAAAACAAAATGAAAAACAAGCAAACAAAACCCAGTAAGACAGAAAAATAAATGCCAAATGAAACATAATAAAAAAGCCAGATTAGAAAACAAAAGTCATGGAATCAGTTTGGTAATGGCCAGCTAAACCTGGACATGGAGTCTATCCTGGAGTATGGTTTATATACAGTGACACTTGATTGGAGAACATTAATTTCCCCTTCCTTATAGGTACCAATGGTAAATGCTCTATGGGTAAGGTAAATTTTGTGTTTGCTTTCCCTTCTCATTTCTAGGATTTTGTCTGATTTGAACCTGTGCAGGTCTTAGAAACATTTTAACAGTCTCTGTGAGTTCATATGTACCAGTTCTCTGTTAAAATAGGGTTTATTTGATCATTGGTTTACCCAGACACATTCCATGTCACACAGTGTATGGTGGTGGGAGACCAAGATGACCTATTGTGTCCACAGTCCAGAGACAAAGAAAGATGAGGTCTACTGGCATCTTCCTTCTCCCTCATGAAGGTCTAGACCCCTGCTAATGGAATGATGAATATGTGTGAATATATTCACAATGGGTCTTGCTTTTTCAGAAAAGTATCTCTGGAACAGCAGATATATTCATAGATATGTCTCCATGGTAATTCTAAATCTGGTCAAGTTGACGATAGATATTAAGCATCATATCTGAAATAGCCCTCTGTCCATTGCTCTCTCTCCCGTGTATATTGATCATCTGTCTGTATGCAACCATCTAATCACCTGTCCAACCACCCGAAATGTATTACTCTTTCTTCAGAGAGTAACATTTCTTTTAATGTTTTCCCCTTCCAACAATGTATAGGGAACTACGTAGAGAAGTGATAATGTTGGCATGCAGCTTCGGGAACAAACACTGTCACCAGCAGGCGTCGACACTTATTTCAGACTGGATTTCTAGCAACAGGAACAGGTAAGTCAAAGCACATCCTGTACTTCCTGGTTGCATTTAATGCACGTACTGTACTTCTGGTAGCATTCAATGATGTTTCAGATCTAGGTGGACACATTCCTCTCATCCAATGGAGAAAAGCAAGACAAGAAAAATACACCTGCAAATCTTTGTCTCAGCTTCACTTAGTGCAAGACGGCAGCCAGGAAGCTATACCACACTCATCCTGGGGATGTTAGAGTTTAGGCTGACTTTCCTCGTTAGGCCATCATTCTTCACATATGTGAGGTATCAACTTGTATTAAGTCTGGTAAATTTTTATAAGAAAAACAATTAAATCCAATTTAAACTCTACAAGTTTTTCATAAAGGTTGAAGCATTTATTCACAGTCACCATCATATATTATCAACAAAGTAGCCGAACCAATCTTCAAATGAAAAAGTAAGAACAGAAAGGTTATAAGCAATACCTTTGCTCTTTGAGTGCCCCTTGACAGTGACCTTAACTTGTATCTTATTTTAGAATATTATGATGCATAATTTTAATACAAAATAAATAATTAAAATTATTTAAGAAAATATTTTAAAGAAAAAACAGCATTCGACTAAATGCCATATTTTAATAAGAGTGATAGATATATCTATATATGTCTTATAGAATACACACACACACACACACACACATCTTACACATGTAAAGACAATTCTTTGTATTTCTAGGAGTCTTAATTATCCTGATGTATTTATGTACACACACACACACACACACACACACACACACACACACACACGCGCGCGCACACACACACTCCATTTTTTCTTTGTTTTCTGACTTTCATGATTGTCTACAATCTCATGGTAAGGGAAGAGGAACTACTAGGCAATTTGCAGAGACAATGATGTTTTGTGTGACATTAGAGGCCTGTCTCTGATGTGCGTGGTAAACTACTGATAAACATATAGAACTACAGGCACTATTGCTTGCTATGGGGAAAAACCGATAATTGTCCCAGTAACAATTACACATTTAAATTTAGTATCTTGCTGAGTCCAAATCACAGAATCACAAATCTTTCTAAAGTTAAGGTTCTGAGGAAAATCCTTCACTGCAGTGTTTAGTAATTTTTTAATGTTTCTCACTTTCTGCAACAGTTTCCTACTTGTCCTTTAAATGAATTATTGCTGGTCCTTTCCTGAGTTAAGGTGGAAAGTATTGTATCACTCTTAGCTGTCTATTGATCCATCATGTATTTAAGTCAATGGTTAAATGTTATCTATCTTTTCTAGTACTAATGTGTCATCATTTTTAAAATTTTCCCACTGTTAGCACTAATTGTCCTTTGTGCTAAGTCTTCTGTCAACTATATTATAGAACTGGACACATTGTAAGATGTATTTTCCTGTTGTTACCATCTACTTTAATTCTGCCCCATGCAATTAGAATGCAAAAATATTTGTCCTTCATATAAAACATAAAATTAGGACACGTGTTTTACATACATGAGAGAAAAAATGAATAATAGTAATATTTATAAATTATAACCTATACTTTCTTATCTTTTATTTTTGTATTGTTCCATTTTGATTTATTTATTGTTTACAAACACATGCTCTTTCTTAGAACTGCTAATTGTTTCTAATCTTTCAAAGAACTTGTTCATGTAAACATATTTTCTTACCATTTTATTAATATTTGGCTCACAGCACTGTATTATCGTGATTTCCCAAAGAACATTTAGGCTTAGCGTCTATATTCAAAAAGTGTAATTATTAAAAAGGCCCTAATTTTAAAATAATTCACTGACTTTACAAACTTACTAAGCAACCTCTTATTTTGCAAGCTTTTGTATCAGCTGGTAGCTGGAAAGCAAATAAAAAAGTGATCTCAAAATTAATAATGCCTAGTTCTAATAATAATATAGTGTGACAGTGGTGTTCTATGAAATTAGAGTTTCATTTTCTGAAAAACGAAATGTAAGCACAAGAGTCAGGAAGGCCATGGCAAAGGAGGAGATTCCTGTTTGGAAGAAGTTCTTTCTCCTGGGGCATGAGTAAGACTATTTTAGTGAGACTGGCCTGGACTAGGGCCAACAGTGGCTCTGAGCAAGAGCATAAGGTAGGAGGATGGGATTCCAAGTGGCACACATAGGGTGCTAACTAGTTTAATAAATATAGTATTTTTTCATTCACAAGCTTTTGTAATCTATTACTACCATAATTCCCTTATAAATGAAAGTTTATGCATAATTTGTTAGCTCATTTTGGTCTTGATAATTCTGCTTTTATTCGTGGCAGAAGTGATAAATTGATGCCAAACATTTTATGGTTCTTTTTTTTCTTTCTTCATTGCTTTTATGTTATCTTATTTGCTTAAAATTGTATTCAGACATGCAGATTTGCTAAGTGGAACTTACTGTTTGCTTAGATATTCTTGACCAACTCTGTGGTATGCCCACCAGTGGTCTACTGATGTAAGGATACATGATAGTCACTGAGTTACTGTATGTGAAAATCAGAGGTTTTATCTCAATTTTTCATATAACAGCTTAGAAGTAGAACAACATGACAAAGGATGGTTGATAGCTGATAGCTGGTGCTAAGTTTAACTTTCTTAAATTAACAATAAAGGAAGGAGCAGGCTTGCTGTACTTAGCTTTCTCCCCCACCACCTTTGTTTGATTCTCTAACTGGAGCCTTAAAAAGAGTGACTTACAAGAAATTATCTAAGAGAAAAGCACTGGAAGCCACATAAATAATACGTGAAACATGGTGGAAGATGTATATTTATGCTGAAAACACAAAGAACAATGAGTCAAGAAGTAGTGAGGCTAACAGATCTTAGGGGCTGCCACAGCACTGTTCAGCATCTTGACACATTGGGCAGATGGGCAAATCAGATACATTAGAATCGGGAAAATGGAACAGATGTGAACGTCAGTGCACAAGGAGGGATAATGGAAACAAAAACTGCAGTCAGTAGCTGGAGATGATGGCAGCAGAGAGAAAAATTCAGGAGTTACAATGGGTGATAAATTGAAAGAGTCGACATTCTGATCCCTTTTAAAATATTCAAATGCTACAATGTGTTGAATTGTAATGGTGATGTCATGCATAAAAGTGGCTTGAGCTACAGTCAGATCTTGTTAGGTTGCAATTTGCAGGCTAGGTTCAGCTGAGTGCCACAGTTCAGAAAGTAGACAAATGGCCCAGCCTTCAGTAGAGAACAATAAAATGATAAAAAGATCTGGAAAATATGAACTAGGAGAGAGCTTGTGAGACCTGGAAATCTCACTCCTAAAAAAAAAAATTAAAAAATAAAAATAAAGGGAAAAATAGAAAGTCCAGTTTTTTTAAAATTGATATATAAAAGCATAAACCAGGGTTAGAAAGTAGTTTCTCTTATTTGCTGATAAATAGATAAACAGAAGTTTCACTGAGTCAAGTAGAGAGCATACCATTCTACTGCAGATTAGTTTCTATTTGAGAGTCTCTGTAGTGCCACACAGTAGAATTTATACAGTTGGCCACATAGGGATAGGGATCATAATTTTTTTCTAATAAATTTAAATTGAAATTAAATGTGTTCACATACTAATGTATCATTTTTCAAATAGCATTAGAGGACACAACAGAAGCTTTAAGTTTATAGTGAATGCAATCATAGTTCACATCGCTATTGTTCGACTACACAGCCCATATGACGCAAGCTGACCTAGAAACACCTGTGTGTAATTCATATTCACTGTGATATCTCCTTTCCAGTAGAGAATCCTGAGAAATGTACAGATAAATTCAACATATGAAAGCATTACTTAATAGATAACAATATCCTTTTCCAACACATAAACTAGAGACCGATGTCTTCACTCTACTTAAAAAAAACAAAAAACAAAGCAACTTTTACAATGGAGCTGGAGAGATACCTCAGTTGATAGAGGACTTTCAAAGCACATGAATTCTACTTGTACAACCTTTATATGTGATAGCATGCTTCTATAATTTCAGTTCTGAAGACGTAGAGGCAGGTGACTGCCTAGAATTTGCTAATCAACAACCCTAGCATACTTGGTGAACTACAGGCTCAGTAGGAGACTCTTTTTCAAAAATTAAGGCAGGAAATACCTGAAAAAACACTACCTCATGTTATCCTCTGGTTTCCGTACAAACACACACATTCACACATGTGTTTATACACACATACATGCACAAACGTACTCTCACACACATTCTCTGAAACAGAACAGGACCTTTTACATAACGAAGATCTACTGAACTGAAATAATTTTGAAATTCCTTGTGGAATAAAAAAGTCAAATAGAAGAACCTCCCTGGAGTTTTATGAATTTAATTCACAAACTTCACTGCTCAGGTAATTATTCATAATGTCATAAATATACCATTAATGTCGCTCAAAAATCTACATTTACCTTACTTTTAATGTTTGTTACATTTCAGAGACTGCCAGGTTTTTTGTATAATCTTACTATTTTTGTTTTATTATTTCCCAAGGAAAATGTAGGTCTTGCAGAGAGGTTCTGCAACTTGCCATCCTTATCAGTGAATGGATAGGGCTGCCTAATCCTACCAGCTTGATACTTAAACCTACTACATTTATATTCTGTAATTCATATTCACTGTGATAACTCCTTTGGTTGTACATCAAATTGACAGATATAATTTTCCAGGAATGGTTTAAAATATTGAAAAGTGTAATGTAAGTGCTCTACAGTAGAAGGTATAAGTAACTGAAGAAGAAATGATGCTCTATGGGCATTAAGACAGTGGCCTGAAGCTTCAGCAGCATCAGCAACACCCAGGGATCTATGGGCACCAAATCTACATTTTGTTGTTCAGCTGGTAGAGTGGGGTCTACCAGTTTGTATTTATAACATGATCTCAGGTAATGATAGCACAGCTGCTCTGGGAAGTACACTTTGGGAACTGCTGATATAAGCAAAGCTAACTCTCCTTAGTAAAGAACATTCGTGATCAAACTGAGGCTGTTCAACTAGAAAACCTTG